TTTACCCCAAAAATCCCAAATTTCAGCTCCGGATGACCCCAAAACCCCAAATTTTGACCCTAAAACTCCCAAATTTTGGCTCCAGATGCCCCCAAAATCCCAAATTTGGGGTTCCTGAGCATCCAGGTGACCCCAGTTTGGGATCCAGGTGTCCAGGTGACCCCAAAACCCCCAAATTTTGACCCCAAAATCGGGAATTTTGACCCCAAATTAATGAATTTCCCCCCCAAACCTGGGAATTTCAACCCCAAATTTTGGGGATTTTTCCCAAATTCCCGTTTTTTCCCCCCAAGGGCGCCTTCTGGGGGCTGCTGGGGGGTTTGGGGCTGGGCCTGGCCCGGCTGATCCCCGAATTCCTTTTGGGGTCGGGGTCGTGCGGGACCCCCGGGCGCTGCCCGGCGCTGCTCTGCGGGCTGCACTACCTGCACTTCGCCGTGCTGCTCTTCCTGCTCACCTGCGCCGTCGTCCTGGCCGTGTCCTGCTGCCACCCGCCCATCCCCAAGGTCCACGTGAGTGCTGGGAATTTTTTGGGAATTTTTTGGGAATTTTTTGGGAATTTTTTGGGAATTTTTTGGGGGGAAAATCGCGAAGAAACGGGGAAAAAAATGTTAAAAAATGTGGAAAAAATGGCCCCAAATGAGGCAAAAATTGCTCCAAAAGAGCCCCAAAAATGACGCAAAATTTACCCCAAAATGGCCCCAAAAGAAACATGAGTGCTCAAGAATTTTTGGCAATTTTTGGGAATTTTTTTGAATTTTTTGGGGAAAAATTGTGAAAAAAGAGGAAAAAACGGGAAAAAACGGGGGGAAAATGGCAAAAAATGGGGAAATTTGCCCCAAAATTGCCACCAAAATGAGACAAAATCAGCCCAAAATGGCTCAAACAGAAACTTGAGTGCTCAAGAATTTTTGGGAATTTTTGGGAATTTTTGGAGGGAAAAATTGCAAAAAATGGGGAAAAAACCTCAGAAAAACAGGAAAAAATGACCCCAAATGAGGCAAAATTTGCTCCAAAACAGCCCAAAAAAATGACAAAAAATTTACCCCAAAATGGCCCCAAATGTCTCAAACTGAAGGGTGAGAGCTCGGGAATTTTGCGGAATTTTTGGGAATTTTTGGGAATTTTTTCGGGGAAAAACGCAAAAAAAAGGGGAAAAAATGTGAAAAAATGGCAGGAAAATGGTAAAAAATGGGGAAAATTTGCCCCAAAATGGCCACAAAAATGAGATCAAATCAGCCCAAAATTGCTCAAACTGAAATATGAGTGATCAAGAATTTTTGGGAATTTTTTGGGAATTTTTTTGGGGAAAAATCATGAAAAAAAAGGGGGAAAAAGGGCAAAAATTTAAGGTGAAAATGGCGCCAAAATGGTCCCAAAAAGAGGCAAAATGAGCCCAAAATGGCTCAAACTCAAAATTGAGTGTTTGGGAATTTTTGGAATTTTTTGGGGAATTTTTTTGGAGAAATTTTGGGAATTTTTGAGGGAAAAAATGTGAAAAAAATCTGAAAAAACGGCCCCAAAATGAAGCAAAATTGGCCCAAATTGAAATTTGATTTTTGGAAAATTTGGGGAATTTTTGGGATTTAAAATAAAAAATTTGGGGGAATTTTTTGTTAATTTTTTGGGGATTTTCTTGGGGAATTTGGGGTCAATTTTTCCCATTTTTTGGGTGAATTTTTGCCATTTTTGGGGTCGATTTTACTGAATTTTGGGCAGATTTTCCAAATTTTGCGTCAATTCTTGTGAATTTTGGGCGAATTTCAGAAAATTTTGGGTCAATTTTTCCAAAATTTGGGTGGATTTCCCAAATTTTGAGTCAATTTTTGTAACTTTTGGGTAAATTGCATCTAATTTTGGGTTTATTTCGCTGATTTTTTGGTCAATTTTTCCAATTTTTGGGTGGATTTTGCCGAATTTTGGGTGGATTTCTCAAAATTTTCAACCAATTTTTTCAAATTTTGGGTCGAGTTTTGTGAATTTTGGGTCCATTTTTTCATTTTTGGGATCGATTTCACCAAATTTTGGGTCAATTTTGGTCAATTTTGGGTGAATTTCACTGAATTTTGGGTGGATTTTACCATTTTTGGGTCAATTTTTGTTAATTTTTTGTCGATTTTGCCATTTTTGGGGTCAATTTCACCAAAATTTGGGTCGATCTTTGTGAATTTTGGACAAATTTTGCCTTTTTTGGGGCCAAGTTCTACTGAATTTTGGGTCGATTTCACCAATTTTTGTGAATTCTGGGTCTATTTTGCCCAATTTTGGGTCAACTTTCCCAAATTTTAGGTCAATGTTTTGCAAATTTTGGGTCAAACTTTTGAATTTTGGGTGGATTTCTCTGAATTTTGTGTCAATTTTGCAATTTTTTTTGCCTCGATTTTACCAAATTTTGGATCCATTTTTATGAATTTTGAGTGGATTTTTCAGAATTTTGGGTCAATTTTCCCAAATTTTGGGTCTATTATTGTGAATTTTGGGTCAGTTTTGCCATTTTTGGCCTCGATTTCACCAAATTTTGGGTCAAACTTTGTGACTTTTGGGTCGATTTTTATGAATTTTGGTTAATTTTGCTGGTTTTTGGGTTAATTTTGCTGTTTTTGGGGTCGATTTCATGAATTTTGGGTGGATTTTTGGGAATTTTGGCTCCCAGCTGCACAGGTTGGTGTTCAGCCTCCGGAACAGCCGCGAGCCCCGAATCGACCTGGACACGCCCAAGGAGCCCCCCCAAAATCCGGGGGTGCAGCTCGGGGGTAAGAGGGGGAAAACCCCAAATTTTGGGATTTTTGGGAGGTCCGGGGGAATTTGGGGACCCAATTTTTGGGGTTTTTGGGTAAAAATTTGGATTTTGGGGAGTCTGGGGGAAGCTGGGGTGCCAAATTTGGGGGTTTGGGGATGAAAATTTGGGATTTTGGGGGGGGCTGGGGGAATTTGGGATGCCAAGTTTTGTGGGTTTGGGGTTTTTGGGGTCTCAGGGATGCCAAATTTTGGCGTTTTGGGATCCAAATTTGGGATTTGTTTTGGTCCTGGGACCCAAATTTGGGATCGTGGGGAGTCCAGGGTAATTTGGAATCCAAATTTTGGGAGATTGGGGTCCAAATTTGAGATTTGTGGGGTATTCGACATCGAAATTTGGGATTTTGGGGGGTTCTGGAAATCCAAATTTGGGTTTTTTGGGGTCTTGGGGTCCCAAATTTGGGGATTTTGGGGGGTTCAGGGCAATTTGAGGTCCCAAAGTTTGGAGTTTTGGGACCTAAATTTGGGATTTTTGGGGACTTGGAGAATTTGGGGTCTCACATTTGGGATTTTTGGGGGTCCTGGGGATTTTGGGGACTCAAATTTTGGGGTTTTTTGAATCCAAATTTGGGGGTTTAGGTGTTCCCAGGTGTGGAAGGTTCCCAAATTTGGGGATTTTTGGTGTCCAGGGGACCCAAAATTCGGGAATTTGGGGGTTCCCAAATTTGGGGCCCCAAGGGATTTTTGGAACTCCCAGCTGATTTTAGAGCCACAAATTTTTGGTATTTTGGGGATTTTTGACCCCGAATTTCCAAATTTTTCCTCCATTCCAGACTTGGAAGCGACTCCGGGGGCGGAGCCTGGAGCTGGGGGCGTGGCCGCAGAGATGGGCGGGGCCTCGAGCGAAGCCCCGCCCCCCGAGGATCCCAAATGGAGCCGAATTGTCGACATCAACGCCCTGGTGCTGATGGGCGTGGCCGCCTTCCTGTGGGGATATTTTGCCTGAAATCCCCCGAAATAAACCCAAAATTATCCCAAATCTCCAAATTTTCCTGAAATGGACCAAAAAAAGAGGCAAAAAAATGGCCCAAAATGGTGAAAAATGCCTAAAAAAATCAGTGAAAATGCCCCAAAAATTGAGCCAAAATCCAGCAGAAATAACCAGAATTTTCCCAAATCGGTGGAAAATTTGATGAAAATGACCCAAAATTGTTCTGAGATGGCTCAAAATGAGTCAAAATTTCACAAATTGACCACAAAATGGTGAAAAATGTGGAAAAAATGCCAAAAAATGAGAAGAAAATGCCAAAAAGTGATCCTAAAAGGAGCCAAAACGCCCCAAAATCCACCCAAAATTGACTTAAATCAACCCAAAATGACCCTAAATGCTCCAAAATGGAAGAAAATTGACAAAAAAGTTGAGAAATTGGGTGAAAATGATCCAAATTCAGCCCAAAATTGAGCCCAAATTGAAATCAACCCAAAAGGAGCAAAAATGACCCAAAATTCCCCAAAATTCCCCAAAATGGCCCAAAATTGACTCAAATCAACCCAAAATGAGACAAAACGCCCCAAAATTGACCCAAAATTCCTCAAATCCACCCAAAATTGACTCAAATTAAAAATTTTGAAGATCAAATTCTCTCAGTTCCACCCAAAATCGCCCGAATTCCACAATTTCCACCCAAAATCCACCAAAATATTCCAAAATGGCCAAAATCCACCCAAAATCTCCCAGAATTCCTCAAAATCCCCCAAATTCCATCCAAATTTTCCCTCCAAAATACAAACTTCACCCAAAATTCACCAGAATCGAAAAAAAATTCTCTCAAATTTCCCCAATTCCACCCAAAATCTCCCCAAAATCCTTCCAAAATTTCACTTAAATCCACCAGAAATTCCAAAAAATTTCCCCAAATCCACTCAAAATCTCCCAAATTTTCACCCCAAATTCCCCCAAACCCTCCAGGAATTCCCCGATTTCCACCCAAAACCACCAAAATTCCACCAAAATTCTGTAAAATTTTTATTTTTCGGGGCCATTTCCGCCCCTTTTGTCCTAAAAGTGGGCGTGGCCTCGTGTGATGGGCGTGGTTTCACTCGGGGGTGTGGCCTGGTGCTGGCCCCGCCCACTCCAGGGTCCACTCGTCCACGGCCAGCAGGGGGCGCTTCGTGTCCCAGCCGGCGGCCTCCAGCCCTGCAGGGGGCGCCACCACGGTGAGCGACCAACCAGGAAGTGTAAACCGGAAGTGGCACCGGAAGTGACACCGGAAGTGGCTTTTTTTGGGATTTCTCTTTGAGAAATCCACCCACGACTCCTGGAATTCCCAGGAATCCGAGGAAATTCCGCAAATTCCGCAAAATGAGTGAAGGTTTCACCTCAAAGCTCCAAAATTCCATAAAATTCACCCAAAATTCCACCGAAATTGTCCCAAATTCCAGAAAGTTCTCCCAAAAGGGCCCAAAATTCCACCGAATCACCCCAAAATCCCGGAAATCCTCCCACGTTCCCCCAAATTCCACAAAATCCACCCAAAGCTCCCTAAAATTCCACAAAATCCTCTGAAAAAAATTTATAAAAAATTCCAACCCAAATTCCTGCCAAAATTGCCCCAAATTCCATAAAATTCACCCAAAATTGCCCCAAATTCCGTAAAATCCACCCAAAATTGCCCCAAATTCCATAAAATTCACCCAAAATTGCCCCAAATTCCGTAAAATCCACCCAAAATTGCCCCAAATTCCATAAAATCCACCCAAAATTGCCCCAAATAATTCACCCAAAATTCCACCGAAATTGTCCCAAATTCCAGAAAGTTCTCCCAAAAGGGCCCAAAATTCCACCGAATCACCCAAAATGCCCAAAATTCCTCCCACGTTCCCCCAAATTCCACAAAATCCACCCAAAGTTCCCTAAAATTCCACAAAATCCTCTGAAAAAAATTTATAAAAAATTCCAACCCAAATTCCTGCCAAAATTCCCCCAAATTCCGTAAAATCCACCCAAAATTCCCCGAAATTCGGTAAAATCCACCCAAAATTGCCCCAAATTTGGTAAAATCCACCCAAAATTGCCCCAAATTCCATAAAATCTTCCCAAAATTCCACAAAATCCATGGAAATCCCCCAAAATCTCTAAATTCCTCCCCAAATTCCCCCAAAATCCGGCCAAAAATTTGCCCCCCCAAAAAAATTCCGCCCCAAATTTCACCCAATTCCACCCAAAATTGCCCCAAATTCCAGAAAATCCTCCAAAAATCTCCTAAAATTCCAGCCCAAATTTTCTCCCCAAATTCACCCAAAATTCCCTAAAATTCCCCAAAAATCCGCCCCAAAAATCCCCCAAATCTGCCCCAAAATCCCTCCCGAAAATCCCAAATCCCCCCAAAATTCCCCAAAAAATCCTCGATTAGCAACCCGGAAGTGCCACCGGAAGTGACGCCATTACCAAACCCGGAAGTCAAACCCCGGAAGTGACTCAGGGGCCAAAAAAATCAAAACCGAAAGCAGGAAGCAAACCGGAAGTGCCACAGGAAGTGATGCAATTATCAGAGCAGGAAGTGGAAATCCCGCAAATCATCCCAGTAATAAAAAACCGAAACCGGAAGCAGGAAGTAGAACCCGGAAGTGAACCGGAAGTGGGTTTTTTTTGGGTTTTATCGCGATTTTCAGGGCTCTGTTGCGACAGAGGCGGAACCAACCTCGCAGGAGGGCGGGGCCAAGGTCCCGGAAGAGCCGCGAGGTCTCGGCCAGGACCCCCCAGGGAACCGCGCCCGGCGCTGGGGGAGGGGACGGACAGGAGTCACCCCCAGAATTCCCAAAATTCCCCCCAAAATCCACCCGGAATTCCCAAATTCCCACCAAAATCATCCCAGAGTTCTAAAAATTGAAAAAAAACCAAAACTCCCTGGAATTCCCCAAAATTCCGCCCAAATTTCCCAAAATTCCTCCCAAAATTGCTCCCAAATCAGCCCAAAATTCCCCCCCCATCAAATGCACCCAGAATTCCCAAAATTCCCCCCAGAATCCACCTGGAATTCCCAAAATTGTCAAAATTCCCCCCCAAATCCCCCAAAAATCCCATTTTAACCCCTAAAAATCAAAAAAAATTCCCATTTTAATCCCTAAAAACCACCCAGATTTCCATTTTAACCCCCCAAAAATCCCATTTTAACCCCCAAAAATCCAAAAAAAAATCCCATTTTAACTCCTAAAAACCCCCCAAAAAATCCCATTTTAACCCCCAAAAAAATCCCATTTTAACCCCTACAAATCCCCCCAAAAATCCCATTTTAACCCTTAAAAATAAATTAAAAATCCCATTTTAACCCCCAAAAAATCCCATTTTAACCCCTAAAAATCCCAAAAAAATCCCATTTTAACCCCTAAAAATTCCCAAAAAATCCAATTTTAACCCTTAAAAACCCCCAAAAAATCCCATTTTAACCCCCAAAAATCCAAAAAAAATCCCATTTTAACCCTTAAAAACCCCCAAAAAATCCCATTTTAACCCCAAAATTCCCCCAAATTTCCCCCCAGACCCCCCCCGAGTGAAATTTTCCCACCATTTTTGGGCCATTTTTGGCCATTTTGGGCCTTTTTGGGCCCTTTTTGGCCATTTTTGGC